AAAAAAAAAACCAGCTCAAAAAAGTAAGTAAACATACATATTGAAATATTTTCTTATGTTGCTCATCATGGGCTTTTAGAAGAAGCTAAACATAACTCATCAAACGCTGAACCTTCCAGAATTATTACAATTAAGACATCTGTTTGTGGTACTGGTTGGAAAGCCAAATACATACCTTCTCTACAAGAATTAGTTCATACTGTGAACGTTATAGTCTCACATACATATGCTTTCTCTAAATATATTTACCTGAAAGAACTCGAAAAGAATAATGTACTTCGTTTGCAAGAATATGTTACCAAAGATTTCTTTCGCGAAATCTTTCTGTCATTGGTTGACAAAGAGTTTAGAGATAGCCAGGCATTAAGCAGATCAAATCTTTCGGAAAAAGTACGAGTACTGCGAGAAAAAACCTACGTCTACAAGGATGATTACTGTGACCATGCTGCGTACAAGCCCATCGAGCTAAAGAATGCACAGCAACTCGCGATTTACGAAAGTATAAAAATACACACAGATTACATCAATAACATTACTGCAAACTTTGGTAATCGCCTACACACGTTTATCAATAGAATCACACACAAAAAGGAAAGAATTGCTCGATTGACGTACGAGATGAAAGCCAAGAATTACTCTGACAAGGTTATCAAAAATCTAATCAAGACAAGTGTGCATGATCCGCTTAAAATAATAAAAGACTTTCTGTTGTCAAGAAATGTGTCAAAGCTCCTACCAATTTCCTGGACGATAAAGCAACTGAACAACTACAGGACTTTTTCAAATCGTATCCTACAGATTACCATTTTGCAAAAGATTTAATATATTACGACGCGAAAGCAAATTCTCGTCAGCATCTATATGCATTCTACACATTGGCTAAACTATGTGAAGAGGGCAACTTGAAAACGTTTTCTTGTTTTCCTTTACGAAAAAGCTTCATTCCGTCATATATCACCATCCACACAAAAATCTTGAATTTTCATATTTTGAAAAACAAGTTTTACTTCCAGCAAGTTTGATCTCTGGGGAGAAATTGTTTATTTAAACTGCAAAGTATTCAAAAATCAAGGTGCTGGGAAAGCCATTCAATTTAAAGGAACAGCTGAAACAGATGGCGTGAAAGTCTCCGTGATTAAACAAAACTTTGAAACCTCAAGAAGTTCTACAAGTAATTGCGGTAAACCTGCCAATTCCACTGACGAATTTCGTCGTATCGAAAATATGGCTCAAAACGACTTGATCAAAACTAGTGGTAACTGTGTTTTAGTTGACCCTAGGAGTAGAAACCTTCTGTACTGTATGCATGTGAACAATTCACCAGAGACCGAGTCAACATTTCGATATACATTTAATCAAAGAGCCAAGGAGACGAAGTCCATTCAATTTAGAAAGCTGTAGCAAAAACTGAAACCTTCTGCTATACAAGCAATTGAAGATACTTTACGTCAAATCACCTTTCTATGTCAAACTTAGCAGCTACACTAACTACTTAAGAGAGGAAGTTTCCGAAAAAAAAAAATGTTCAAGCACTACAGCCAAGAAAGCTGAGTGGGCTTTCCTTTGGTTACAAGAGGAATTCCGTTCAGGAAAATGAAAATATCTAATACAATAAACCGAATGCAATTTGACAAAAGGTTAGTTCAAAACTTACAAAAGAAATTCGGAAAAAACGCTATATTGATATTCAGTGATTGGTCAGCAGCAAATGTCAAGTATCATGAACCCATCCGAGGCAAGGGTAGCAAGCGAATGTTATAGAAAGAAGGTTTTCAAGTCCTTCTCATATATGAATGCAAAACCTCAAGCCTTTGCCCCAGATGCAAGTTTTCTGCTTTGGAGAAATTCAAAACCATCAAGGACCCCAGAGTGTTCAGATGAGAAACGATGCTCATGATTAAATGTCATGAGCTGTGGGACCGTGATCTTGCTGCCGTCTTGAATTTCAAGCACATCCTGACTTCGTTGAGAGACACAGGCCACGCCTGACAAGGTTCAAAAGAGTCTTGCCCAAGGTTAAAAGAAGTGAGAGTGTTTTGTTTAGCAATAAATGCAAAAAAGAAAAGAAAATGCAACGAGGTAAAGTGTTAAATATTTTAATTGACAATCATTCATTTATGTATCAAATGGTCAATTAACAAAACACAGTAGAGAAAAATGCTCTTAAGCCAAGGGATGAACATTGATGATCTTTGTGCTTTTGATCATCAAAAATTGAAAATGGTATTTATTTAAAGCAAATAAACCAATTCTTATCTAGACACGCTATTGCTACAACAAGCTAAAGGTTATATTTTTTTTCCAAAAAGTTTCCCAGCTATTTCCTCTACTAATTGATACATCTTGTGTAAAAGCCATGCTAATGCTAAGATGGTAGTAATCAGTTTCCTTTCATGTTAGTGTTTAGATTCAGGATTAATCCTTGCTGTTGAATAAGTATTGATGATGTGTAATAGCCAATCGTTTACGCCTTGTATGGCTCTTTTTGTAGACTCCAAGCGCCACATTTGAAAAGTTGAGCGAGCCAGCGGTCTAAATGGAAAAAAAAAAAAAAAAAAAAAAAAAAAAAAAAAACAATAACTGTGTATTATTATAAGTTAGAGTAAACTGCTTACCTGGTTTTATAAGATATTGGCTCTATAAAGTTACAGATAGTCTCTGTAATCACTTCTATTGATATCTTTGCCTTATTAATCAATACGTTAATAATAATGCTTCTCTTCCTGTAGGCCAACTACGCTCTCGTCTGCGACAACTGAATGTCAACGCCCACCATATCCTCAACATCAATTATCCCGATCGCCACCTTGTTGCCCTCTTAATCCATAATGATTATGAAGTTGAACTCCATTCACAATTAAAGAAATTTAAGATTCCCATACAGGACGATTACGATCCTCTAGATCCCTCGAGTCTTCGTGATCCCGATTACGATGACTGGGACGAAGCGAACAGGACGGCCGCCGCACGTAGCCTGTTTCTGGGTTGTATCCTTCATTCTCTCGATTACCTTAAAGGTCCTGTCAAGGCTCTGTCAAGCAGGCTGTAACAAATTTCTTCGCTAACAAAGAATATATCGATCATAACGAGTTCCCTGAGCTCTTTCCTGTTAAAAAGACATGAACTCCATTTACTGTTCTCTCAATAGTCTCCCTTTTTGAGATCCACTTCTTTGTCCCTTTCTCCAAGCCACAGCACTTTTACCTTCAAGCCCAGAGGGGGTTTTAGATACTTCTTTCATTCTTTGAACTGGCCCGGGCAAAGTTGGTATAAAAATACCATGTGCCCGCTTGGGTTTAATAAATAAAAATTGTTTAGTCGTATTGTTCTCTTGGAGGCCTATGTCCCTAACTCAGTAATCAAAAATCTTTGATCTGGAGTCAAAGTCCTGTGTTCGAATCCTACAAATCCGTTCCCAGTAGCTTGCTCTTGAGGGCTTTAATGCCTCTTTCTATGGTTTTCGGTTGTTGGTCGTTGGAAATAAACAAAATATGAATAATTACAGTACCCGCCGTAGGTTGAAATAGGCATGAGTCCCAGCACCGCCAAGTTTTAGCCTACCGATTATAATGATTAGTTTATCTCCCTCTACCCACCCCCATTAAATTGTATGCTTTCTCCCTCCACTATCAGTACCTTCCCCACCTTGTTGAACTTGCCCAGGCAATTTCAGTATAAAAATACTACGTGCCCATTTGGGCTTTATAAAAAGATTGCTTAACCGTATAGTATTTGATTTCTTAAATAAAATATTTGTTTGAACGTATAGTATTTGAGTTGTTGACTATAAAATCATTGCAACTGTTACAAAAGTGCGGAATCTAACTTTTTTTTCTCTCTTTCTTTTTCTCTCCCACGCTGCTATGTTCTTTAAAAACACCTTCAACGCTATATCAAAGCGACTCTATCATTCACGTCTTCAAGGAAAAAACGTTTTTATGTAAACTATTTTGAAATATATGTTTTGCAATTAGCTAAAGTACATAAAGTACAGGAGCTTCAGCTGGAATAGGAGAAGCGTGTGCAAGAGAGTTTGCAAAAGAAGGCTCGAATTTGGTAAATGAATGTGCATATATGCATATGCATTCTTGCTTATTTCATAATAGATTCTAGCTGCACGAAGAGTGGATCGATTGAAGGCACTTCAAGAGGAACTTTCTAAACAACATAAAGGCATACAGATCCACACTTTATCATTAGACGTTCGAAAGAAACAAAACATCGACGAGGCTATTAACAATTTACCTCAGAAGGACCAGATAGATGTGTTGGTTAATAACGCAGGTTTAGTGATTGGTGTAGATCACCTTGTAGATGTCTCGGAGGACGCGTTTGATACGATGTTTGAAACCAACGTCAAGGGACTCGTCTTTTTAACTCAGGCATTATTACCAGGCATGAAAGCGAATCAAAGAGGTCATATTATAAATATCGGATCAGTGGCAGGTAAGCAATCTGTTTGTTTCTTAAAGCTAGTTTCTCATATTTTGACAGGAAAACAAAGTTATCCTGGCGGAAGTATTTACTGTGCTACAAAACATGCGGTAGATGCCATCACAAAGGCGCTTCTTTATGAATTGGTGGATACACCCATCAGAGTGAGCCAGATTTGTCCTGGTTTAGTAAACACAGAATTCTCGACTATTAGGTTTAGAGGGGATAAAGACAAGGCAAGTGATGTATACAAAGGTCTACAACCACTCGTGGGTCAAGATATCGGTAAAATACTTAAAAAAAGACGCTTTATTAACTCTTTTTTATAGCTGAACTTGTAACATTTACTGCTTCAAGACCAAGTCATGTTAATATTTGTGATATGCTAGGTAAATTAAAGTAAGGTATGAGTGGGCAAGAACTGACCTTCTTTATAGTATTCCCCACGTCACAGGCAGACGCAAAGACTGTTCATCGCTCAATAAAATAAACATTTCTTATGGACGTTGTACAGAAACGCGCTTTTTTTTTTTTTCTTTTTTCTTTTTTTTTTCCCACAGTACAATGTTATTAAAGCACACTGTCTATGTGATTACTGGAGCTAATCGTGGCTTTGGTAAAGTCATTGCTGAGGTTATTGCTTCTAAAGCTAAAGAAAAGACAAGCATTATTTTGGTTGGAAGAAATAGAGCTGAACTGGAAACGATTCAACTCGCCAATGTTGATACGTACTTTATTGGTAATATTAGCTTAGAAGGAGCAATTCAAACAGAGGAAACGATTGTTAAATCGTTGGAAGATATGATGAAAGTAAGATTAAAAGATATAATGTATGATACTCATTGTTCAAAAGGAATGGAGAGACCAAAATATTGCACCTATAACAAAGGCTGTATTGATTAATAATGCTGGATCTACAGGGGATTTATCCAAAAAGGTTGAGGATTATACAATGGAAGAGATACAGACTTATATTGATCTGAACGTGACATCATACATTGCCTTAATGTATATACATATTTGGTTCAATTACACTACTTGAATCTAAAACTAATATTGAATAGAACTGGATTTATTCGTTTATTCAAGAATTATAATAGCGTCACCATGACCATTGTCAACATATCTTCATTACTTGCTGTACAAGCCTTTCCAAATTGGGGACTTTATGCCACCGGTAAATCAGCAAGAGATATGTTGTTGAAAGTGATTACAAAAGAGAATGTAAAGCTCCTTTTTATATTATTTGTATATGAATCATTTCTAATATAGATGTAGCCATACATTCGTACTTTATCTTATGCGCCTGGACCGTTAAATAATGAAATGCAGAAAAATGTACGCGAGACATTAGGAGATGACGAACAAAAGACGCTTTATACTAAAATGGCAAATGAAGTAAGGATAACTCTTGTTATTATTATTATTATTAAACAGACTTCATTAGGGCCAATTGGTTTCAATGCAAGATTCAGCATTAAAGTTATTCAACTTACTTGATAAAGACAGATTTGAATCAGGAAATCATATCGATTATTATGATGAATAAAGCGATATCACAGATGAAACAGCTTATTAACAAGACTACAAAATGTACTTGTTTTGTTATGTGCGTAGTATTTATGGAGAAACTTTAGTTTATAAGAATTGAAGATATCTCGACAGTGTGTTTTCATATAATCTATCGCATCATACAATGATATACCTGTTTCGATAAGAGTAGTGGCCACCAGTCTCAGGTACTCCCTTCAGACTAGAGATACAATAGACAGCTATGACTGTATTTTGATCATTGGCCAAATCTAACCACTGATCTATGATGAATGATTAAAGCTACATCTTATAAGCTATGGATAACGTACCACGCCATCATCCTCAGATGCAAATACATTACTTTGACCCCATGGTTCACTTATGCTTCAGGATCGTACGCTGGTTGATAACACCTTGCGACTACTGATACATTTAAGCTTACAAAATTCTCTACATAATAATTAAAGGTTGATTCAGTTGGTGAATTCAACATTACTTATCTGTTGCTATAAGATTGATGCTTAATTATGTATAATGTGGGGAAGAGAATAATGTCATACAAAAAAAAAGATGGGATCACTGTGATTTATATGTCAAAAAAGAGAGACAAGTGACCAGTGATTTGCACAGCAAGTCTAGCTATTGTATGTACTAAACCACTATAGGACCATTTGACAACGATTTGCACCAGTCAGCTACTATATTAACCCACTGTGGTACCCTAAAAGTAATGAAAGGTTATGGATACAACGATAAGTCGTATGCAAAGGTAATCAATTTCTTTTAATCAGTGCAATCAAAAACGATAACTAGAAGCAATAGTTTTCTTATTTTTTATTATTCTGCAACATCTTTTACATTCGTATCTTTTTTCCCCTCTTTTTCCTTTTTAAAACATTTTACTTTAAATAAACCCTTGAAGGATGAACAGAAGAAAACAATCATGATTTTTATTTGACTATTTTTTTTTTCTTTTCGTTTTACCACAAAAATTTCGTAGGGATAAACATTGCCTTGTCGTGTCGATCGAATCGAGTAGCATTGAAGCAGTCATCATATCTATACTCTTTTATCAACCCAGCTATAGCTGTGAATGCATCTTCCCATTCCTTTGAGCTTTTTGCATTATCAGGCAAAATATACATTCTATATTCAAGCACGTCACTAACAACTTCACTTTCATCCAACACATGTTCATTAAACTGCAAGGCAAGACCAAGGGATCCAACATCAACAAGACGCTCATCATCGTCAACAGGTGGATGGAATACACTTTGTATAGAACTGAGAGAGATTTCACAAACAGGCTTTCGTCTCTAATATTTAAATATATATTGGACCAGACCCTTTGTTTGATTATATATCTTGTCTTTTTACCTCTTTGTACTCAAAATCATACAACATAAAGCAAGAAGGAGTTAGTCTAGCCCAGTAGCGAGTCCATCTCTAAGGAAAGCATGAATATAAAAGAGTACGCCATACATATGTTTTACTTACTGGAATGATCTTTCCTTTTGTGTAAACTGTAATATACCCTTCATACAGTTGGCTATCATCTAATAAGGTCATAACATTCGGACTGATAAAGGTTCCATAAACAACAAGAACTTGATATTGACCGTCATCAGTTTCATTATTCTTCAACATAATTCGCTCAATTTTCTTTTCCTTTGGATTTAAACCGACATGAAAATCAAACGATCCAAGGCAAATCTCTGGTTTTTTAAAATGTGAACTGATGGATCCTAGGATAGATTTTGTCCTTGAAGTGATTGAGAGTGTAATCTGTGATTCCTTGTAGAGATCGCTACCCAAAAAAAAAAAAAAAGATGAGTTGATTATAGGATAATGTAGCAAATGCCATACATGATATAAGTCTCATCCAGTGTCGCTTTAGTCCCGACCTTGCCACACTTTTGACTTTGGATATAAGAACCATAGAATGCTTCATCATCCATTGTGATTTTTGGTTTAATATAGCATGCTATCCGAATATTATAAAGAAGGGTTCATAAAATGATCATAGAGACTACTTACGCTTTGATGTGTAAGAATTGCTCAATTCCAAAACTAATCTATTTACTTTAGCGCGTGTAAATAGATGACTCTATATTGTCAATTACCTCTTATATAAAAGCTTCCCTTCGCTTTAGGCTTTTGACGGTGACTGAGATAATTAACCCTACTGAATAGATGAGTAACCAGGTAAAGCTATGTGTAGTACTTACGCATTCACGTAATGAGGTTTACGAAGCACAATAGATCTAGGGTAGTTTGCCAACGGGTTGGTCCTACCCATCTCGACTGATTCAGATACGATCCATTCATATTTATCCTCGGGTAGCTGATCCAATGTCTCGCAAGGACCATTATAGTGTATAATTGGCTCATTCGGCTGTTTACGCCTTGGATGCTGAATGAATGATTTAAATCTTTTCTTTGACAATGATAGTGAAGGTAAGAGTGACCTGTTGACTCTTTGAGTTGAGCTACTACGAGCAATGGTTGATGATCTGGCATCCTCTTCATCATCTTCCTTCAAGTGTGGTTTATCCATAAGCAACGTATTGCTGGACTCTATCAGGACTGGATTACTAATTATCATCCTATAATTATATAATAAAGAAAGAAAAGAAGAAAAGAAGAAAAGAAATATTAACTGTCTTTTTTTGCATAAATCCATCATTGGCGCCATAATGAAAAACTTCCGGAGCATTTTTTACAATTTTTTATTATTTTTTATATGGTCTTTATACCAAATAGGCTCTAACCTTTCCAATTCAACAAGCTCTTTTTCAACCCTATTCATAATATCTTGTCTTATTTCTTTTACACTCATCAGTTTAGCTCCCCTTCCGATGCCAAGTAGTTTTTTATTTTCATCCATGTTTTCTATGCTAGCAAGCATACTCTTCCTTGACCATACTTTAAACAGCTGCTGTAAATATTCCTTATTTCTCTCTTGATACTCTGTAATATTTTGAACTCGATCATCATCCCAATTGACATTCTCTGTCACTTGAAATTTTCCAACAACCTTGTCTATATATCCTTTTACCAATTGCTCAAGGGGATTATTGGGACCCTGATGCCATAATCTCTCTGTTACATCCAAATTGATCCACGATCCATTATTAATCCACTGATACACTCCACTCTTTTCTGGCTGCCATTGATAGATCGCGGGGTCATCGGTTTCTCCACTCACAACAATCGTCTTGGCTGTTTCCGTATTCTTCTCGTTTGCTGTAAATTGAGCGATATAGACTGGCCAGTAGATAGGATAAGCTGCTTGAAAGAGTACTTCAGCATTATTTATCGTAAATTCAGCCATATTTGCTACATTGACCTTGTGGCCTTCAATCGCACTAGATGCTCTGTCACCAATGTCTTTCAAGGGATCTACAGAGAAGGGTATCACTTCTATATCATCTTTTTCAATGAGATCCTTTGTAAAGGGCACAAGTGTCAATGGCTTTTTAGCTGGTTTCAAAAATGCTAGATAGCACATTGGATCCCACGTATGTCCTGGCCAAAAACAATCAAAGCCGATAGCTAGTGCTTGACGTGGTGGGCCCAGAAGGGTTTGAATTGTCTTGCTAGGCTTTGTTTCTGTTAATTCTGGCTTAATGTCTGCTGAAATAGCCATATCATAATACCAGATAGGGACATAGGCCTTTCTTACTTGAAAGGATGATACAGTGTTACCTACTTGAGGTAACTTTTTTGTAAACATCTATTTGATCAGGTTAAGCAAGTTTAGGGTCAACACTAAGAGAAGTATGCTATGCTTACACTCATCATCATTCTAAAAAGACCAAAGAGAGCATGTTGGTTCATGTAAGAGGCTATATTAATCACCTGTTCCAGCTTGTCTTCTTGTAACTTAAAAGGTAGTGCACATATCTTGCTCGGTTGTTTTATTTCAGTAGAATAATGTCGACTTGTTCTCGTCTGTAACACTACTCTTCTCGTAGTAGTATTAGCAACACAAACTCGTAACATAAGAAAAAAAAAGAGTAATGTAAAAAGACGTCATGTTGATCCAAGACGAGAAATCTAAATTGCTATACGAAAAAAGCAGTCATAGTTAGAATAAAAGATATGGTACAAAATAAATAATCTCGCCTCGAGTAACGCACCGCGTTGCCCTAGCATCCTCTTGGTTTAAACAAGAGAGCGGTAATGGTGATAAAATCAGTATTAGAGTGACTGATGCTAGGAGAGAAGACAGACAGATAGATCTTGAAAAGAAGTTTGTATAATCCAGAAATACCAATTGCCAAAACCGATAAAGAAACGCGAGATTTGGAGGCTTTTTTATATCTGACTAAGATGCATTGTGGATTGCGACAAAGAAGGGAGCCTTTGCTTTTAAAGCGGATTATTTTGCCATTGGCGACTTTTTATTGAATTGGGTGGCCCAATTTTGAAAAGCAAAACAGACGTGTTTGGGGGAAGTTGTGTTTGTTGTGCAGACATTGATCTGTCTCCTCTGAATGCGCTGTTTCCACTTACCACCATATCGAAGATGTCATTTAATTCTTGAACTAACACCTGTTCCGCGATCACCAATGAGCATTAAAAGCTTTTTTTTATCGAAGCGTGATCATGTACATTTGAAATATCATTAGGCGACTTCTAAAGGAAAACGTCAGAATTTACCTGTATGGTGAGCTACAAAGCTTCTTTCAGCTGAACAGAGCTTGTGTTTGAATTCTTTTTTTTTCTTGAATTTTGACAGTTTTGGACCAATTTAGCTGATTATTAGAATAGTAGAAAGGAAGAAGTGTATGTCTGGTCGTGCTCTGAATTGAAAGGACACTTTGAATTTCTTCTACTGTGATTAAATGATCAAGACTGTTTGAAGCTAAATGATTTTCGATATATTGTACTGCCTGGCCAGCAGGAGTGCATTTTTTTTTTTACTTTTTCTAGTTTCTTTCTTTTTCTGTAGTCTCCGCAGCCGAAATCAACGCTTTTTGAACGTACTTTGAATGATTTAGATATGTCTAGAAAGCTGGTGCCGTCGCTCATGTAGTTTTCTTCAGGCTGTTCGTGGTATCTTTCAAGAATATCGGCAAGGTATGGATTATTTTTCTGAATATTTCCAAGCACCTGGTAACGATTGTACAACTTTAAATGGGATTTAAACCTTTTCATTGAGAATGCAACAGTATCTGTCATGGTATGAATGCCATTATATGTACCGAAAAATGAGAAATCTTGATGTATGTTGACAGAAGGGGAAATATCACTTTTCTCTACCAATCTCTTGTCAGATACTGTTTTGTGCTGCTGGTAATCTTAGAAGATGTTTACTGAATTTCTCCTTTCAAAGTACCGCCATTCTTTTTAAGTGCAATTGCTGTCTTCTACTTCTTATTTGGTTTTTTAGATCAGTTTGCTTTATGAAGGCTGCATTTCTTTCTTGCTTGACAATCTCTATTCTAGAATACAGTTGGTTGCGCATATCTTGATCAAAGCTTTGAGACCATTGCGAACGAGGCGATTTCCATTCCATTGAAAAATTAAATGGCTTTTGCTGTTTATATTCTTGTTGTAATTGACTTTTAAAGTGGGGGACTTCATACTCTAATTTTTCAATCTCTGCTCGTATGACTTCAGACGATTTTGACACTCTTGAATTACTACAGGATCATGGAGTACTTTGTCAAAGCTACCTTGTTTGACACTGAGATCATTGTGACAATGAAATTTGTTTGGCTTGAGCCTTGTTCCTAACATCTCGACAGACTTTGCACCGGGTAAGGAGGTAATATTTTGCGCAAATGCAAGCCCTGGCTGCTTGCAGATTGAAAAAACGGCTTCAAGGTCGAAAATCGAGGTAAACACAGAATCTTTGTGGTGGCGGGCTTGATCTTGTGAACCAATTACAAAATTGTCGGAATCACGTAGTGGAAGCAAGTTATTTGACTTCGCATGATTAAGTAAACTGAATAGCGAGGGTGCATCGACACGCATTGTGCTGAATGAGGCCATACTTGCTAAAGGACATATCTTCCTGCAATATTCAGAGTAACCGGTGTATTGTAGTATATCATTTGCAAAGATCACAAAGGACAATTGACGAGCAAGCGATGAATAGAACTCTTTACTTGATATATAAGGCTTGAAAGCTTGAATAACTAAATAGCACACTTGGATTTCTTGTGGTTCCAATTGATCATTGAAAGAAGTGCAATCAGGACTAAAAATCTGGTTCTTTATAATCGCTTTCAATTGTCAAAATCTTCTAGCAGATGCGTCTTTCTCTGTAGATGGCATCGAAGAACAACTATGATTACCTTGCTAATCATCGCTTTCACTTTTATACGATGGATTTAAGTCATCAGCACCTCTCTAATCCTCTTGCGTTTTGCGACTCGTGTACTTAAGCTATAAATTGAAACATATTTAGCACATCTGCAAAGATAAGTATGAGTTTGAGAGTTTACCTTAAATAAACGGCTTTTCAATGATTGAAATCGTGCTTGACACTTTTGGGTTTTAGGAGAATTAGGTCGTGATTTTTGTAAATGTTGTTAAGTTTGCGAGATTCTTGACGTAATATGTATCTCACTCTATTTCTAGTTATACAGTTTAAAGCAGGAGTTGATTTTACTTGCACTTCTTTTGCTTTCTTCCAAGACTGACTCATTGTCTCTCTTCTAGAAGCGAGATGTATTCTTAATAAACAATCAAGACACGATCCAAGAGCCCATTTATCATTTTCTTGTCACACCACATATTTGCCAGATTCGTAGAGTATTGTGTAAGCGCAATATTGCATTCATTAGATGAGATACGCAGTGTTGAACTGAATGATTCGCGTAGAATAGTGAAGCTGCTTAAAGCATCAAATAGCGTTAGTTGAACTGGACGTTGTGCAAGTGTCTCATCTTTACAACCACGCTTTCTGAAGTAGTGTGAGTGGATCAAACCCAAATGCTACTGTTGAAACAGCATACTAAAACCTTCTGAAAATTTTGACATTTCTAAAATTGCTTTTGGTATGGAACAGGCTGTGAATTATATAGGCCGTTTATAGCGACAAGTAAATCCAATTGGCAGTATACTCACGATATTAAAACCAGGTGATCGCTGCAATATGATTTTTCCTGTGTCATTTTCAATAGCAAACACGTGGTTCCTTAACTCTGTCATCATCATGTAAACCAGGGACGAAAAAAACCGGTAATAATCACTAAGGTTCATCATAAAGTCATGTAGTTCCTTTTGAATCGAAAACCTTGCTTCATTCGACAGGCCTTGACGAAGAATTTTGAATATTGATGAAGGGCATGTTCGAAATTCTTCTTCCTCGGTTGAGTTTTTCACCAACTGAGTTCCTTGTATATAGGTGTTAAACGCTGAGGGATTTTCAAGTAACTCAGCAGAAATAGCATCAGATTTTTCTTCAACGAAATCAATCCAGGATTTTACGTTTCTTTTACATGCTGGATGGCTTTCAAGATAACCTTTAAATTCATTTGGAGTACAATTCGCCAACTTTTTCGCCTCTGTAATAATGGACCTTGGTAATCTAGTAACAGCTAGTAATCTTGATTTTAAGTCACTCTGGGATTCTTTCTTGATACAATAATTGATCTTAAGGATAAGCTGATGTTTCATAGAGTTCGTAAAAGCGTCCCACAGTGCACCTAAAGGCGTGTATGTAGGCCTTGATGCAATCTTTTATCAGAACTTCCTTCTTCATTTGCTTGATTTAATCTTCCTCCTTCATAGCGGCTATCTTGTTTCTTTCTCGAACGCGGCATACCTATTATTCATGTAATGTTACACGACTGTAAATAACAATGATGAATTTGCTTGCTATGAAGAGAGTTTGAATGTGTGGGCTCGTAAATATAACGTCAATAAGGAAATCTATAATGTATGTAAAATGAGAAAGGAAAAAAAAGAAAGATATAGAAAGAAAAATGCGAAAAATACAATATTCTTAAATAATAAGGAGCCACGGTTCCTTGTGATGTTTTCACAAAGAAAAAAATCGAACAAAGAAATAAAGCATAATAATAGAAATACTTTGAAGATGTTTAATTCATTGTAATAAAACAAGGGGTCGTATTTGAGGGTATAGTTTAACATGGTATTTTATCTAGTAAATATAGCGCAAGGCTATCGTAAACTGCACTTTCTATAATACTAACTTCGACTAACAAAAACCTTAAAAACTAAAGGCAACCTACTTCAGCTTCTCTTATTCATTGTGTGAAATCCTGGTGAAAATTCATTGAGGGTCAGAATTTAATTAATGTATTAAGAAAAAAAAAAAGCGACCTGTACTGGACTACTTTATTGGGAACAATGAAATAGAAAAATTTTATTATGTCAAACACAATGAAAATAATAGGGATTTCAGCAGTTAATGATAATTTTGATTAATGATTATCATTAATCAGAAATTCTTTACTGCTGAACCCCCTAATGTAACCAGTGTGAATGCTCTAAAAGCGTATTTATTTATTTATTTAGTAACTTTTTTATATGCCTAGAATGCTCCTTTCCGTACTAATAACTTAATCGAATCTTGTCACAGCCAAATCAATACCTTTTATTTCTGACGTATGCGCAATTTACGCTTTGACCACTTGCTGTACTTGTTATCTGATAACCATGCTGATTATACTGTAAAAATGAAGCAGCATAATTATCTGCACCACCACTGCTCCTGGACTTGACTCTCAAGCATATTTTCCCAATTTACAGAATCAAAAATATTCCTTTGTCTTTGCGCAATTCTTCCCCTCCAAGCTTTTTTTTTACAAATATTACTGACAATGCAAACTCTTATACAAATACAACAGATACCGACAATAATAATAGCCATGAACAGAACTTCGACAATTTTGAAAACATATTCAAGAAAAATTGTAAAAAACGTATCTCAGCCTAAAGAAACCAACAATAATCAGCATTTCGATGAAATGGAAGAGCTTCTTTTAAAAAGATTTAATTTTGCTGTCTGTGATCTTGATACTTCATCTGCATCACTAACAAAATTTTTGTACTTTTAAAATTTTCATTGTCTGACAGCTGAAAGAGAGTGACTTGGACCGTGGCCGTCAAAGTCGTATGCGAATTTAGATTAGTTTGACCCAAAAATCTACGGAGTCTCGAACTATCTCTTCATTGTCATTTTTTGGACAAGACGCATCAAATGCGACAACGCAAAAGTAAACATGGAGAAAAGGCTGTTTATTTTTAAGTTCATCTATGAACGAAACGCTGTTTCAATAAAGTTACTAGGAATAAGTCCTGTTTGAATGATCTTTGCACTGACTTTATCTAATAAACTTGCTTCCCACCAGCCTTGTTCATCGTCTCCCTTGGATATAATTCCAAGTAGATCACCTTGCTTGAATGATATCTCTCCTTCATCAGCTCCTTCATAATCATATAATGCGATAGCTACATAAAAAATGTATAAGTAATATGGTAATTTGATTAATGATTTGCTTTACCAAAGTCTATGAATTGTTCTCTGCTTTCTGGTGGTATCGTTGAAATGCCACTATTATTTTTCTTCAAGTTGTAAAAACTTTGTACGAATCCTTCCCTTGAACGAACAGAAGCTAACGATGCTGAAGACCCTGAGGATATCGTATCTGCGCTATTCACTGAACGGCGTCGGTAATGTCCTAATCTGTTGCCATTTCTCAACATGCGTTCATGGATCATTTGCGCTGTAGGCGTATTCGAGGTTGACATGGATTTGGTTGGCATAACATCATTTAAACTATTTGCTTCAGATTTTGAAGAGGATGATAAAGAATTAAATGGGTCATACAAGTCTCCCAGGTTGTTGCTAGACATTGTCGAGGATGAATAAGACGTGTTGTTTGAATTTCTTGAAGGACTCACTCGTTGTGAAATGTTTCCTGCATTGTTATCAGCCATACTCATGCGTCGACTGGATTGTGAATCAAAATATGAGCTTTTCCATCTGTCTTGCAACAGGCTAGGTGAGGATGCTGATGCAGTTGGTCTGATATTTGGCTGTCTATAGTGGTTGCGGTGAGCAGTATCCAATTCTCGCAACATATTGTCCAACTCTCTTGCTGCTGCGTCCTGTTCTATATCTGCTGTAACTTGGCTTTCAGTGTTATCTGAGGATATTGTTCTTTTGACAGCATCAATAGATGGTGCTTTGTACAATGGCTTGTTGTCCTCCTGTTGTCCTGTAGAGGGCCGTTCATCATTTAAGAATGAAACTCTTCGTCGTGTCGTGCTCAACCCTTTCTTTAGCAAAATAGAGGAGAATGACTCATCTTTCTTTATATTTACATCTGCAGCTTGCTTCCTATAGGCGGCCGCTAACTTACTAATATTTTCGTCCGAAGTAGACCGATTGTCTTGCCTGATTTCTATAGGTTCTCTATTTTTCCCTTCCTTCGCTTTTACGGACACTGGTGATGCTTGGTTCTTTTCCGTAGATTGGGACAATGACTTGGAATCCATGGTGTCTTCTTTCTCTTGACTTACGACAGTCTCTTTTTTCTCTTCTTTTATCTCGCTTTCTTCTTCTGACTCTGTTTCAGTTACATATTCATACTCTTCATCACCATCACTATCATCAGATCCATACACCTCCATCTTTCCCACCATTAGAATCTTGGGACTATCTGTATCTGGTTCTTGTTCTACTAATGCCACTGTGCCATCAGTAGGTTTAGTGGTTACAGTCGTATGTTCAACGACAACTTTATCAGGCACTGGCTTAACTTCTGATTTTTTCTCTTCAACATTTTTCACCGGCTCGTGATCCTCAGTATCACTATGCTCTTCATGATCAATTGCATTATGAAATGTACTCTTCGTTTCTTCTCCCTTTCCAAGGTTTACTTCTTGATATGCATGGAGTTTGATATAATCCATTGGTGCTGATACATCTTGGTTATTATACCATAAAGTGTTGACTTTATATACTTACATGGAACAATATGAGTAGACCTGTTCTCATTCACAAAATCAGTAAGGTCTTGCATTACGTCCACATCCTCTACTTTAACATTTACTCTTTCATAAGCCTAATAACAACATTCAAAACCCTTATTATAGCCATTCTTTTAATGTTATTTACCTGTATTTCATTTTCTAAGCATCCGACCATAAGGTTTGTATAATTTGAAATATTTGTCTGGAAGAACTGTATTCTTTCTTGCTCCAGTCTTTCGAAAGCCTACAAGAAAGGTAAATAAAGGTATCTTGGTAATTTGTTTCTACCTACATCACACGTATTTTTCCAATCGTTGTTCCATTCTTCAACAATTTTAGTCAAGTCATTTAATCCCTCATCATATACACTTTCTGTAGATAGTGTTAATAAACATTAACTGTTGAGTGTTTTACTTACTGAGTTTTTCTATAGTTGCTTGTGCTGTTTTAAATGCGGCCTGCTTTTCTTCTTCAGTTGATTTTCCTTCTACAAGGATATTTGCTTTTTCAATCTCTTGATTATGTCGCTTATGAGCCTACAATATTGTTAAGAGACAAAGTGTGTGATATCGAATGCATTTACCCTGCGCACAAAATGAACTTGAAGCTGTCTATTATTGTACAGCTTTTGAATAGAACTCTGAAGCTATAGACAAGAATAAAAATATATATATTTGACAGGCACAAAGATAAAGAAAAAGATAAACTCACCTCCTTTCTGACAGCCTTTTGTTTGTTGATAAGTTTCGCCAGTGGCGTGGCAATACTATCGCGTAAATGACATGATAGTTGTATATGCAACTCCGCAATTGATTGGAATTCGGCTTGCATCGTGTCTAATGCTACTTTAGTTTTACCATTTTCTGTAGACGATGCCTTTTGTTTTTGGGCAATTTGTAATAGTGTCTTTCCATACTCTTCTTCCAGTAGTGCTCTTTTACATAAATAAGCTGGATGTATAAAGTGCGGTATCAAATCATTTACCTTGCTTCATATGCATTTTTTAACCTTTCACAAGTTTGTTTAGCACCACGCATACGTTCTAATAAAATAGTTATGCCATTCTTTTCAAGGCTTTCCTGTATAAACAGTCAGTTGCAACCTTTTTATGTCATACAAATAACAACATACCCAAAAGTTATCTGAAAAGTGAGTAGTGATAATATCTGTAGTCATGTTGTTAAAGAAAGATGAAGAAATACAGAAAGCGTGAAACGGAAACAATTACCCCTCTTTCAACGGACAGCTTTTGGTTATTGTTATTAATATCTGACAAAAACGGAAATTGACTGTAAAATCAATATCAGCTTATGTAGCACACACGCACACACACATGTGTATATATTTGCCCTATAGTCACTGGGAAATTTGTAGGGAAAAGGGCATTACCATGTACGCACTTTTGACATAAGAAGGACTCATATTTTTGTTTGAGTTACAGTAAGAATAATATCATTTGCTAGTGTGTTTCCTATTATATGTTTTTCTAACAATTTAATTATGTCCAATAATAGTTGGGCATATCGCGTTATATGTTAATAACATGTATTGTTGTCAGTATCTTTGTATTATTCATTCTTAGAGTATAGATTTATAGTAATCTCATACGACAAGATTAAGTATTTATAGGGTAAATACGACATACACTATGGCGCACAGGTCCGTAAGTTCATCTGAAAAACCGTAGATTTTTTACGGTTTTATGAATTGACCAACCAAAGCTCTTTTACTTTTGCGTAACAATACCCCTCAGAAAAACGAAATGGCAATTGCAAAGGTTAATGTGCATTCAAAAGCGTGTATAAGAGTTTTTAATTTTTTTAGAGGCTGATTTTGTGATTCTTTTGGTTAATTTCTGATGATGTTGATTTCAGGTCATTGTCGTGATCAGAAACCATAAAGAAGTCTACGGACGTCCGTAGAAAACTTACGGAAGTTGTCTCTTAAAATTCCAAAGACTATTCTCATCCCGCAACACTTTAAAATATTTACAAGTCCACTATTCCACTTTTCAGAATAAATTCCTTTTCTTTCGAATTAAATCTGAAAGCAGCAAAAACAAAACATCAGCAACAAAGAGTAGAAAGGATTGAAGGTCGCGGATCAAACAAACTAAAAATCACTTGGAATTAACCCAATTGTATGGATTAGTAAAGGGTTGCATTCGTATGAAGATGAATGTACTTGATGGAATAACATGAATTAGAAATAGAGGAACATGAGAACTGATGGTGATTCAACAGTATTGAAAGGAAGTAAAATGTGTTGAATCAAAGGTGAATGCAAACAAATGAACAAACAGAATAATGAAAAGGTAAGTAGAGCTTGTTTATTATTTCTTTAAAGTGATTTATTTAAATGTTGTTATGAATCTCAATTAATAGCGATGTTTATTCGAACGTCGATAGGTTGTAATATAAATGAAGAGAAGAAGGTAAAAAAGGATGGGTATAGACTTCTCACAGGTAAATGAGGCTAAAAGAAAAAGGAAGAAGGGAATGGAATTAGAAAAAGAGAGGATTCAGATTAAAAGAAGGAAATGAAAGGAGTAATGAAGGTGCTTTTACTATTGTACATTCACAAAAAGACGTTGTACTGTTTATATTGGGAAGATATAACAAATAAAAAGAAGACAGTCTGAAGTTTATACTGAAAGTAAAAAGGGAATGTCAAAGGTTATTTGGAATCGTGATGTCGACAATTACAAAAGAAAAAAAAAAACACGAAGGTTTGATTGATAAAGATATTAAAAGGGAGAGAGAGAAGGGACTTAAAAGAACATAAAGATAGCTCAAGTAGCTTATCTGATACTTTTATGAACATTGTTGTCATGGTACAATTGTGTTTATTCATTTGCTTCATTGCTACAGCATCGTACTCTTTTCATTATAGTTAAAGCTTACATATGTACTGAATATAAAAAGAAGTAATAGAAGACATAAAATGATATTCCATAAAGGAACTTGTTTCAATTTTTTTCTTTTTCTTTCTCTTTAATCATTTTGTCTCAATTAATCAACAACATTCAAAGTCTTGCAAGTACTTAAAAGTCTACTTTATAAACTTTTTACATGTCAACAAAAAACAACAAGAGCAAAAGGAATAAAGTAAATCACTTCTTTAGTTATTACTTCAACATTTACAACAATAATGCCAACATAAACAGCAATCTCTATATCAATGAATCCAACAATGAATAGTTCAAAGATAATACATACTTTATTGATATAAAAGTAAAAATATAAGCACAAGTATATAAACACTGTACAAACACACAGTAAAGAGTAACAGCTTTATACAATTTCTTTTCTTTTCTAGATGCAACTACTAATCCCACTTGACAAGCAGCTTTTTTTTTTTCATAAACACAAGCTTATTGAAAAAACATTTAAAGTAAGTTAAAGAAGTTCTCTCCTTTCTTACCTTTTACTCATTTGTTTTTATTTTGCTACTCTACAATTGCAATTGAATAATATGAAGAACAGCGCCTGATTCAACAGCAATAATAATACAACAAGCAATATGGAGGAAAACAACAGTGTTCTAACGTCGAACGTCATGCATCTAGCCTCTACTGGCATACAATTGTAAAAAAGTCTTATGGCCCTTGCAAATGAGACTAGAGTAATTCAACAAGCAATGAATAACAATGACTCTGTAGAAAACTATTCTATTTCGAACGTTACGGGAAGAATAAATTTACAGAAAAAAAAGGGACGCTTATTTAGTCACTTGTATTTTGGGATATTGTCATTGCTGTATAAAACATAATCAGCAACTGCCATTAGAAGAAAGAGTAAGAAACTTGACTTCAAATAGACACATGGTTGGAAAAAGAGCAGTAAAGAAGCAGCTACAACCGATAGAAATCAACTTTCCATAACAAATAGAAGAAATAGAAGAAGCAACAATAGAGAAAAAAAATATCTTTCAACGATCATCTTGCGGCATTCATTGATGGGTTATATTTTGAAGAATAAATATAACTGCATGATGCAAAGCTTAGAAAAGAAAAAAGGAATAATTTACTGTTACGAGAGCTTGTAAGTGATGTACACTTCGAAATGAAGAATGATGAATATGGTGATAGAATAAATTGAAGCGATCTGTCCGATGATTAAAGGAATTTATTGTATCATGATGTCAGAGCAACTTGTCAAGGATAAAGACTAGAACATTTACAGATGCTTTAGATCGTAGAACAAGAAAGAAGGTTAATAGGGAGGATTCTGAAGAGGTAGGAATAATTTAATTAGTTACACTTCGAGCTTTGTGATCTTGGTTGTTGTAATCATTCTTTTCTTTATTAGTTCGAATTGTACAACGTAAAATAAAATACAGTAATATAAAGAGCTTTTTTTTTTGATCCTTTATCTTCTTTTCGTTCGAATTTGTACGCATCTGGACAACCCGTCGTCAAATTATGATTACTGAGAACAATGGTTACGATCAAGCTGAACCTCCTGCATAGGCCATGGAATCCTTTAACCGCCTTTCCTCCCTGGAAGCTAAGTTCGCGTCTTCCCCTTTCTTACAGGAAGATCCCAACGTGGTCGTTCGGTCTCCCGGGGCTGATTTCACTCCTTCTTCAGCTCTTTTGGAACACTGCCCCTTCATTGAGGAAGATTTTTTTCGTCGTCCTCTTCCAGATACTGAGCGCCGGCGTTTCCTATTCGAATGCCCTAAGAACACCATTCGTTCCTACGATCCACCTGAACTCAATAAGGCTAACCTGTCAGGACCCGCTCGTCGCTTCGACACTCAATTGCATGATATCCAGTATCGTCTCTCTGGTCTTACTCGGCCTATTGACTGGTTCGCCTATCAATTGGTTCACAGTCAGTGGGATCTGGACACTACTCGTCAACGATCTTTGGAGTTTGTCAAGGCTATTCACGAGCTTCTGTACGATTTGGCGTCGCACATCACCAAGCAACGTACTTCTAACATGTTCCGGGGTATTTCTGCTTCTTGTGACCCTCCTTCCGATGAGCCTCAGAACTACAGTGACTCAAAAAATTGTTCATTTTGAAGCCGTTTTTTGGCTTCTCGGCTTGTAGTTCCTCTGGAAATGTTGCAAGCATACTCAAACTATATCAACAAATAGCCCTACTTCTTGGCTATCTTATGATATAAAAGGAAGGCGTATCGCGTAACATAATCGCCGTAGAGCGCCGGTCAAAAATGAAGACCAAAATGAACAATTTTTTGGGTTTTTGTAAAAGGTTCATATCTGTCACGTTCGAAGAGGCTTTTTAAGCCGTGTGGCTATTTTTCATTATGTTGAGACTGCTAAACCTCTAAACATTAAGATTTTATAATTTTTCAGAACTTTTTTCTTTTCCTCATTTCGAACATCTACCTCAAGTGACATCATGGTTAATCGCAAGATCTCTGCTCAAAAACGTGCCGATATTATTTCAGCTTTGCGTTCAAACAAGACGTACAATGCAATTAAAGAAGCGTTTGGTGTTTCTAAAGGGACTATTTCCAAAATAGCCGCTGAAATCCTACATTGTTCAGAAAACAAGGCTGGGCGACCACTAAGCTTATCTACCCAGGAAGCAAGATTGGTGTTACGAAAATTCTCTACAGGAGATTTTCGCAATGCAGAAGAGGCAGCAAAGTCGCTCCGAAGTTTGGGAACCCAGATCAGCGCGCAAACAGTACGAAATCTTTTGTCTGCAGCTAACTTTAAAGCTGTGCATA